AAAAAAAAAAGTAATATCCCAAAATCCGGAGAGGTCACCTAAAGACATGACAGTTTGAAACCTGCTTAGTTTTATTAACGCTCCTGTTCCGCCTTCTGAGGAACCTGGAGGCATTTTCCATCCTCTAGTCTCCCTCCAGGAGTCATTAGGGGAGAAATAGGAGGTGATTGGTCATTTATTATCACAGTTTCAGTATATATTATATATTATTATATAGTTAACAGTATGAGACTTTCCTCCGGAGGAGAACGGCACGTTTCCCGGTGGGAGAATTGATCTTTTACGCATCAGTCGAGAGGAAAAGAACCTGTCAGAATATCCGGGAACTAAAACTAAATTTAAAGGAAAAGGACTTGTCAAAGCACAACTCAAACGACAAGAACCTGTCAAATCTAAACTCAAAACTGGAAATCTGGATTATTTGGGGGTAAATAGACACTTCCCAGCCTCTGATTCTGCCAGACCCGGAGATCCAGAGTCCAGATCTTTTACGCATCAGTCCAAAGGAAAAGAACCTGTCAGAATATCCGGGAACTAAAGCTAAACTAAAGGGAAATAACCTGTCAAAGCTAAACTAAAGGAAAATAAACTGTTAAAGCTAAACTCAAAGGAAAATCTGGATTGTTTTGGGGTAAAGTGAGACGTCCCAAATCAAAGGGAAATCTGGATTATCGCTTTTTAGGGAAATAGAGACTAAGCTAAACTAAACTAAACTAAACTAAAGGAAAAGAACCTGTCAGATCTCCGGGAACTGGAGCTAAACTAAAGGAAAAGAACCTGTCAAAGCAGAATTTAAAACTCAAATCTGGATTATTTTGGGGGCAATAGAGTCGTGATTCTTCCAGAGATCCAGAGTCCTCCGGGGGGAACCTCCTCCAGACATGCCGGGGAAGGAGCCCCGTCCCCGGCAGGTGTCTGGGCACCGCCCCCCCCTAAAAGCTGACCTCCTGCTCCTAAACGCGCCTTTATGAGCGTGTCCCGGGTCCGGAGGAAGGGATATATCTCCGGGGACGCACCTGGCCGTCCAAACTTTGTCTCTTTTCATGCGCGCGCGCGCGCGTCCCGTGCACAGCAGCTGCCTAAAAGCAAGCAGAGAGGCCCTTGTAGTGTCCTGGAGATGGATTTGGCACCGCGTTTGGCGTCTTTAATGTTCCATCCGCCTTTGTCCCGCGCACAATATGGCTGCTGTAAAGCATGAGCCCGGCAATGACACAAAAACACGCGCTCTCAATGACGTGACACCCGGATGAAAGCGCACGCGGGCCGGCCGGGCCAGGCGCGTTCCGCAGCCAATTAAGGCCCGGCCTGGACCAGCCAATTTAATTTATGTCTCCAGTTTTTCTTTCAAGGAGAGAAAGGAGGTGCGCGCGGTGTGTCCTGCGCGTGGGAACGTCACCTGGCGTTTTTCTTCACGAAGGCTTTGTTTTGGCTCATTAACGGCCTGTTTTGTGTCATATTTCCATCCGGAAGAAGAGGCAGATGCTGTGATTGTGGAACCTGAACTCAAGACTGGGTGGGTTAGGGTGGGTTAGGGTGTGTTAGGCCGTGTTAGGCCGGGTTAGGGCAGGTTAGGGCACTGGTCGGGGAGCGCGTGCAGCTTTGTTTTTAAACATTACTGGCCTGTTTTGTGTCATATTTCCACCCGGAAGATGATGCAGATGCTCTGATTATGGAACCTGAACTGTGGGGCTCCTCAAGACTGAGGAGGAGCGGGTGGGTTAGGGTGGGTTAGGGTGGGTTAGGCCGGGTTAGGCCGGGTTAGGCCGGGTTATTCGGGCGGGTACTAGTCGGGCAGCTTCCTCAGAGCCCGTTAGGGACGTAAACAGAGCCGTAAACAGACTTTAACCCGCTCCTGTCGGCCTTTGTGCTTGTAATTCATGGTAATAGGCCCCAGGTTTTTTTTTTGTTTTTTTTGGGGGGGGGGGGGTGCGCGAGCACAGGTGCGGAGTGGCGCGTGAATACCCAGCCCTGATTTTTGCCAAAGCTCGAGGGCTCTTGTCCGGGTCTCAGGCTGATGGCAAATATGGTCCTGCCTTTGATTCCAGCCGGGAATAAAGGAGCAGCGAGTCAATGGCGGCGCGCGCGCCTGGTTTTGTGCGCGAGTGCTCCATCTCACGCGCATAAAGGAGCCTTTCCAACTTTTAAAGAGCCACCTTTGCGCTCTCATAAAGAGCCACCCGGCATATGGCGTAAGGTGGCGGGTTTTGTCCCAGAGCCATTGAGATCCAAACAACTTGTGTTCTTTAGATCTTTAGAGCGCGCGGATGCGCACGTGCTGCTGGCGGCCGGTGCGCGCGGGAACAGAGGAAAACAGCCGGTTCCACACAGAGAAACGACAGAATAAGACAAAGCTAATGACTGTGAGCTCTTTAAGTGGAGCTCTGGTGGGTTTCAGA